TCAACAGTTCGGTTTTTGGCGGTTATAGAGGAACCATCAAAACATGGAACGGGTCGGGCAAGTCAAAACCCAGAACCCGAACCATAATCCGTGATTGAGTCTAACGGTCGGATTCAAAAGCTATGGCCATGATTCTTCATCGAGCAAAGTGCACAGAAGCGACGCCGCTTTGTCAAATCGCATTTAATACGACCTGACGAGCCCACGCGGCCTTAGCTGGAAAGCACAAAGCTTCGTCAACAAACACGTTGTTCGCCTTCTGCCAATTCGAACTCCACCTGTGAGGATGGATTTTGCCTGTGAACACATGGCTTGACCTCCACCATTTCAAATTTTGCCTGCGAAAATGAAACTCGCCTGCGAACGTCGAGCTCGCTTTGTCAGTGAAAATGAGTCTCGCCTGAGCCGATCGTTTGTTTGGCCTAGTTCGCCTGCGAAGACAAATCTTGAGTGGTCCAGATCATCTGAAGTGTCAAGCTGTCAATAGAACGGTCTCACCTACACAGTCAGACCTACCAAGCGATACAACCCATTGACACACCCTTCGGGCACACCCACATGATTAGAGAAGAAGTCTTAGCATTAAGCCTAAGAGAAACTACTCGACAACTCATCATACTGAGGGGAATAGTATGGCTAGCCCGATTCAAATAGTAATCAGTAAAGGCAAGTCAAACCCGTTGATAGCTGAGGGTTTGCTAAAAATCCTAAGAGAAACCTCTCGACAACTCATCATATTAAGGAGAATAGTATGACTAGCCCGATTCAAACGGTAATCGGTAAAGACATATCAAACCCGTTGACGGCTGGGGATTTGCCAAAAATCTCAAGAATCAATCATGAAGGGGGAAATATACATATAAGATATGGAAAAAGAGACAGATAGATAAAGAAAACATGATTCCATTCATATCCAATTTAACAATACATTTAAAAGTTATGATGTTACATTCAAAACGAAGTCATGATAAAACAAGAAAAAAGCCCTAAAATATCGACCCACTCGGTCGAGCCTATGCCAGCTCAACAAAGGAGGCGAGTTCAGCTTCAGCGACGGCTATCCTCGTTGTCCGATCCGCTCAGACCTGATCCTCCACCTCCCTTCGGATCTTAGTCTCAAAAGACGCAGCAGTGACAGAATCCTCTTGACGAAGCGTCTAAAGGGCCTGCATTTCCCTTTCAACTGCTTCGTGAATGCTCGGACTTTTGAGTTGCAGACTTTTCAGAGCCGCCTCTTCTTCCATGAGCTGAGCCTTCATTCTAGCAATGGTAGAGATGGAGGCATCAATCTTTGCCTACAGCAGACACTACCGAGTGAGCAGATCCGTGACGAGAGCCTCCTTGCCTGATAGGTCCCTCTCCTAAATCTCCCACTCCCGTGTCCTTCTGATACGAGCCTGAGTCATGAGCCGCTCCACGTCCTGCTCTGAATGAGAGAACAGCAGGACTTCCAAGCATGCCACACGTGACTCGAAACCAAGGATACTGACCAGATAATGCGAGGCCTCTCGAGCCTCGCCCATACGCCTAAGAGAGGCAACACGGTCCATCAGCAAGGGCTTAAAGTCTGCATAGGTTCCCCAGCTGAGGCTAGTAATAGAGACCGCCTGCTGCATGGCATTTTGTAGTTGCCTGAGGACGCCCTGTGTAGATCAGGAACTCGAAGAGGCGGATTCCTAACCAACCAAAACCAGGGAAATGGGTTGGATCAGAGGGACGACCCCTTCACCAGGAAGAGGAGACTGAGAAGACCACTAAGGGGAAGCATAGGTGCGTTCCTCCACCTCGTCGTCTGAAAGAATGATGGGTTCAGGCCGGACTGCCTCCTTCTTCCCCTTTGAACCGTATGTTCCCATTCCCAAAGCCATTTCGAATCTGGGAAGTCTGAGTTTTTTCTAAGAAGGTTTGAATGAGAGGGCTTGCAATTGTAGTGATCCTCCTGCAAAGGAGATGAATCGACACTATATACGCAGGATCTCGACCGTCAAGATTCGCTGACCGCTTGAAGCAGATAGTTTCAATTTGGTGGTTCCAACTGAGCAGGAACAAACAAAGTAGAATGTTTGGAATACTGCATGGAATGGCCAAGATTGGGCGCCTCACACACGACCTCTTGTCGGATCAATGGTTGAGATAAAAAAACATCGTCGGATCTGTCCCATTGAGGCGAGCTCGCGAAGACAAGGCATCATCTTAATTAACAAGCATGGGAACTTCCCCCACGGACATGCGGCTCTCTCTCTTAGGCTTGAATTTCATCTAAAATAAAAAAAAGGGGGAGCCTAACTCGAATGGCGCTAATCTCGCCTGGGTGTACTCGCACCACTCGAATTCACCCAAGGGTCTCTACCTAGTCAAGGGAGTCAAATTCGTTGTAACTCACCAGGAACGTCTTTATTCAAAGTATTCTAGACCACACGCAAGTTTGTTTAGGTCTGAAAACTTTAAAGGGGGTCTTATATACAGTAAAAATTACCTTTGCAGATAAGCCTGAAATCCGTCTGCGTATTCGAGTCGCCCGCACGACTTGAAAATTAGGCTCACCTATGTGCTTGACTCACCAGCACGAACCAAGACCATGCGATCACCAAATTCTCCTTTGCATCTGGTGATCCGCCAGGTGATTAGAAACTCGCCAGACTCATCAGAGTACCTGGTGGCCATAACATCACGTACAGGGATAGGCCTTCCTATTTCCCATGACGTGAAGGGGAGGAACACAGTACTCCGAGCCCATCAAGTGGTCGTCCATAGTGTGAGCGACCAGTCGAACCCACGATGTCACTACACTCGCCTGCACACTTAACTCGCCCACACGAGTTACCCGGTTTCTTCAAAGCAAACATGTATGCCTCTTTTTAGAGGATTAGTAATATCCATAGTCTCTAGCGCACCTATCATTCATCGTAGCAAGTGGTACATTCTTGGCATATACCCAGAACATAGTTGAAGAGAAATCCAGAGAAGTTAGGGAACCAACACTACGAGGAACAATCAAATTGAGCAGGTTTCTTTCAAAGCATCACAACCCACCATCAAGCACTTTTTCCCTGTCTGCATCGAAACCAAATCTGAAAAGGAAAGTATTCCTTCCACTGTAAGGTTCCACCAGGAAGGGGGCATTTACAGTCTAGATCCTCCTAAGGACATGCTCAAAGCCATCTATATTAGCAATACTCCTACCAAAAACCTTCCCTAAAAGACAGTTATTGAGGGAAGGCAAATCTGTCCGGTCCTTGGTTGATAGAAAAATCAGGTCATCTTCGTCATCTAAGCTGCATTAGGCACAAAGCTCGGCCATCTCATCATCATCAATTATCGCCATGTTCTAACACACCAGCCCCCAAAGACAAAACACAAGAAAGCACCAGTAGCCCAAAAAATCAGCAACACAGCAAGATAGAACGACTTGAAACGGCGATGTCGTTAGTTTAAGACCGAGAGATGGTCTTGAAAAAGTGAAGCCGTAGATTTGAGACCAAGAGATGATCTTGAAACGATGATGTTGTTACTTAAAAAAACACGGTGATGCCATTAATATGAGAACGAGAGACGATCTTAAAACGGTAATGTCGTAGATTTGAGACTGAGAGACGGTCTTGGAACAGCGATGTTGTTACTAAATATGAAACGACGATGCCGTTAATATGAGACCGAGAGACGGTCTTGAAACGGCGATGCCGGTTATTTGAGACCGAGACATAGTCTTGAAATGGTGATTCTGTTACTAAGTATGAAACGACGATGCCGTTCGTGTGAGTCAAGAGGAAAAGGAAATTCGAATGAACAAAGACGGAGAAAAATAATGCTAGAAAACTGGTGTTAACTGTCAATGATGTACTAGAAATCGGCGATGGAGACCCACCGAAGCCTTGCCGGTGAGAATTACCGATGGGAAACCCCGAGGGATGCCACGAGGGTTGGGGACGAATCTCAGATCTCGTCAAATAAATTTTTCACAAATTGCCGGAGCGAGACAGGGAGGGAGGTGCAGCACGAAGATGGTAGAAACCTGCCGGAAAAAATCAAAGGAAACAACCAGATCTGGCCGATGGAGCGCCGTCACTTACATCTAGGGTATTCAAAATCCTAGAAATGGATTTAATTTGCGTATATGTGTGTGTGAACTGGCCTTTGCTGTAAAAGGTTAACTCTCATTAGTTTGCAGTTTAGCCATCCCATTAGAAAAAGATTTACACTGTGACTCAAGTAAACGTGGGCATCATTCAGTCTACGTTCAATTTTTCTTTTGGCAGCAATTAAAGGAGTATATTCTTAAAACACTGGAGAAATAATGTTAAGACCTAATAGAGCAATAATTACGTAGAAATTAGCATTCCAATTATGGAATGAAATATGGAGAAATATATCAATCAATCAATATGGAATGAAATATGGAGAAATATATCAATCAATCAATATGGTATGAAATATGGAGAAATAATGTTAAGATCTGATAGAGCAATAATTACGTTAATTAGCATTCCAATTATTCACACATTCTCAATTAATTTATGCCAGCAAATCATATTCAATTATGTTTCCAATTATTCCCACAAAAATTTCCTAATACTCTTCTTCATAATATTTGCTATTGAAAATTCTACCAAATCAATAACTTATTCCTCATTTACTCCCAAGATTTATGCTCTTCAATTTCCCCATCCCCTCTATAAAACCCATGCAAAATCCTAACCTCCATCCACTAATTCCTCAGACCAACAATGAAGTCCTTATCTCTCCTTTTCATATCCTTCCTCATTGTAATCTCCTATCCATCTTCAATCTTGTGTAGCAACTTACAGACCTACGTAGTCCACGTCAGACACAACTCTGATGTTATCAGCTACAATGACGACCTCGAGAGCTGGCACCGATCATTCTTGCCTCCGACCAGTTTCAACGCTGGAGACTCCGACAGGTTGGTCTACTCGTACTCCGAATCCTTTAGCGGCTTTGCTGCTAGGCTGACCAAAGCCGAGCTGAGAGAGATGTCGAAAATGGCTGGCTTTGTCCAGGCTTTCCCAGACCGAATCATCCCTCTCCTCACCACCCACACTCCGGACTACCTCAAGCTCACTGGCCCCAGTGGCATCTGGAACAGAACCAACCTCGGTAAAGGAGTCATTGTCGGCGTCCTCGACACGGGCATTACGCCTGGTCACCCTTCCTTCCATGACGACGGCGTGCCTCCTCCGCCTGCGAGCTGGAAGGGCCAGTGCAATCTCGAGAAAGGTTGCAACAACAAGGTTATTGGCGCGAGGGCGTTTCAAATTTCATCTACGAAGGCCGATCCCACGGATGATATTGGCCACGGCACTCACACTGCTAGCACCATCGCGGGCAATTTCGTGCAGAACGTAAATGCATTCGGGCTCGGCAATGGCACGACTGCTGGCATGGCTCCGCATGCACATCTTTCCATTTATAAGGTGTGCCAGGTTTCGGGCTGCCGCTCTGCTGATATACTTGCTGGTTTTGATGCTGCGATAAAGGATGGTGTGCATATCCTCTCTCTGTCTCTCGGTGGAGCCTCGAGGGAGTACGATCAAGATCCAGTAGCTATTGGATCGTTCGCTGCAATTAGAAAGGGCATCACTGTTGTTTGCGCCGGTGGCAATGAAGGCCCTTCGGAGAGCTCGTTGTCGAATGAGGCTCCGTGGATTCTCACCGTTGGTGCGAGTTCAATTGACAGAAGCTTTCGATCAATAGTGAAACTAGGTGACGGAAGTGAGTATTACGGTGAAGCCCTCTTCCAGCCGGCTAATTTTAGCTCCAAACCCTTTCCTTTACTTTATAATGACGGCGCTTGCGACGAGGCTATGGAAGTCAAGGGCAAGATCGTCCTTTGTGAGCGCGAGTTCCAAGAGCCGGAATATATAGGTTCGGCCTTGAAACAAGCTGGAGCCGCGGGGGTCATCATACTAAATGAACAAGAACGAGGCTACACAATCCTCGTCCACAACCTAGAATTAGCCGCTTCAGAAGTCTCTTTCCAAGATGCATTGAAGATCAAGAAATACGCAAACTCGACGGAAAACCCGACTGCCTCGATCATATTCAACGGCACTCTCCTCGGCGTCACCCCATCCCCAGTCATCGCCTTCTTCTCCTCACGTGGACCAAACCAGCAATCTCCCGGAATTTTAAAGCCCGACGTCACTGCTCCCGGTCTGAATATCCTCGCAGCTTGGAATACACCAGTGGAAACTCAAACGAAAGCCCCTTTCAATATAATTTCAGGCACATCGATGGCAACACCTCATGTCAGCGGCATTGCCGCTCTCATCAAGAGCCTGCACCCGGATTGGAGCCCCGCCGTAATCAGATCAGCAATTATAACCTCCTCTGACAATCTAGATCGTGAGGGCAATATCATCAAGGACGAGATGCACAACGATGCGACTTTTTACATATCAGGTGCTGGCCATGTGAATCCCGTTAACGCCACTGAGCCAGGTCTAGTTTATGACATAACCATCGATGATTACATTTCCTATCTTTGTGGTAAGGTTGGGGAGCATGGAGTCTCTATGATTAATTCTGGGTTGAACGCTAGCTGTTCCGATGCGAAGCAAATAACTGACACAATGTTGAACTATCCAACGATCACCGTGTTTGCTGTATCGGGAGCTCCGGCGGTGGTAAATAGGACGGTAACGAATGTGGGTGATGCGAATGTGAAATATACGGTGGAGGTGGATGTGCCGAAGGGGGTGAAGGTTATGGTGAGGCCTAAGACTCTGCAGTTTACAAAGGTTAACGAGTCGCTGACGTTTTCTGTCGAAGTGATCTCGGATGTTGCTGCTCAAGGGAACTTGAAGTGGGTTTCGGGCAAGACTGTGGTGAGGAGTGCTTTGGTGATCATGACGTAGAGTCAGTCTCCAAGGGTTAGGGGTGATCAACTTTCAATGTTTGTATTTAATTGTTGCATTCTCATGTTGAATAAGTTTATTCACAACCTTCAATGAAGTGTATTTGTTCTTTACCATAATCTCTTAGATGTCTTAACTTGTGAGAAATGGTATACGGTTGATTGAGTAGTCCATTGACATGGAATAACAAAATTAATGTGAAAGTTCATTGTAATTTCAAAGTTCTCTTGAAATTGCTGTTTGATGTCATTGAAAAGTTAGAAAAATAGGAAAATATCGTATGATAAAAAATTTATTAAATATGTCAATTCCTATCTATCTATACTACTATAAAAAGAGCAATCGCGTGTTAAAACTTGTAGTTTCCTCGTTTGCGCTCTTAAATTTTGATAAATTCTAAGTATGTCTCTAATAAATTTTTTACTAATAAATATAACCACTTATTAATTATGCACCTCTTCACCTTCCTAAATTATTGTAATTATCAATAATATTATAACTATTATTTGTTTAATAATAATATAATAAAATAATTTATGAAATAGTTATACAAAATTTTTAATAGTAACCAATTAAATTATTATTATTATAATTACTTATGAGTTATAAAAAAATTATTAAAATTAATAGTATACATAAAATAATATATTTATACTATAATTCAATGAGCAATAAAATAAATACAATAGATATTTAATATCATAAATAGTGTAATTATACTATTTATTTAGTATTATATTATTATATAAATTAAATAAATAACTTAATATTATTTTTAGAATATTTTCTCAAATCTTATCACATAATACTGAATAATCTATAGTTAGTAATGATTGAAAACTAATTTTTTTACAATAAAACTATTCAATATTAATAATAGTACTATTAATTGTGAGTGATAGTTTAATAAAAATTTATAAAATATTTATAGTACTAAATTATCTTAGAGCATAATTAAAAAATTGAAATTAGATAAATATTTTATTGCATGTAGATAGTATAATTATTTTAATTACTATTACTTGAACCAAGAATTATAATATTAAATAAGGTAAATTACAGTAAACCCCTATGAACTTTCAGTATTTTGCAGTGAATAGACTTTATGAACTTTCTAAATCCCCTAATAACTTTTGTAGAAAGTCCTAATATCTTTTAGATAAATTACTCCAAACCGCCCAATAACTTCAAAAAGGCCTTTTTATGGCATTTTCTGACTCTAATCTATCGGGGTTATATGCAAAATTTAAAAAATTATTGGGGTTTTCTTTGAAACAAAAAAGTTATTAGGGCTTTAGTTTGAGTTTGAAAATTCATAGGTGCCGAAAGTTCATAAGGGTTTAGTGTAATTTATCCTATTAAATAAGTATGATGAGAAGTAACTATTGCAATATGTTGCTGGTATTAAGTGTAATACTCTAGGAATATCAAGAAAAATCTAGCAAGATCAATGCAGCTTAGTTAATGTAGAGTTAAGTTAGCAACCTTCAAGCACTGGTACAAAATAACGTATCCTAGACGGAAAATTCCATCTAGGATACTTATATTTCCATCTAGGAAAACTATTCCAGACGGAATTCCGTCTAGGATATGCGTCCAGTATGTTTTCGACTAGGATGCAGTATTCTAGATGGAATTTCTGTCTAGAATACTTCTAAGACGGAATATCCTAGACGAAATTTAAAACCGTCTAGGAAGTATCCTAGACGGGATTTTTCCGTCTAGGATACTCCGTCTAGAAAGTATTCTAGACGGAAATTCCGTCTAGAATGCTTACTAGACGGAAAATTCCGTCTAGGATGCTTTCTAGACGGAAAATTCCATCTATGAAGTATTCTAGACGGAATTTTCCGTCTAGGAAGCATCCTAGATGGATTTTTCCATCTATGATGCTACAGTAGTTTTTTTTTTTTTGCTTGGTTAGAAATCTACTTTGTACATTGAATAATTAAGAAAAAATAATAATTGATTCTACAAGTAAGCTGTTTGCGGAAAAAGTTGCTGTATTCATTGCTGCATTCATTACAACTTCAATCGTTACAATGAAACAAAATAAAAGAGTAGCCTGTTTTATAATAGACCCCGGCCGCCTTGACACAATTGAAAACAAAATAGATAGCAACTCTTTTCAAACAAACGCTTAAGATCTGCTTCGATCATCTTCTTGCTTGCCGCTGGGCTCTTTTTGCCGTGGTGAGCTGAGGTGGATGTGATATCCGTGACCGACCGCCGGGCCACGTCAGATTTTGGTTCCGAGGCAGAAAGTCGTGGCCACGTCCACGAGCTTGTCGGTCTATCGGCGAAGCGGCATATTGGCAAACAGCGAAACCCCCCGTCGATACCGCGCTGAGATTTGTTTTGCCCCCTTCAAGGGCCAGCGTTTTGTAAAGCCTTATGGTCTCCGGCGTAAAACGATGGCCACTAAGCCTCTCCTTTAGTTCACCGGCCTAAGGCGGCAACACTAACTGCGCAATAGAAGGGTGGGGATTGATGAAAAGCAACGAAGACTCCTTTGCCTGCAGACAAGGCTCGCTCACTCCTCTGCATCCGTGCCGCAGTGGCATTCGCCCTCTCTTAGAACAAACCCCGACTCCTTCCTTCCGGGCCAGCGGCTTCGCCCTGGCCCTCCTCTCTGCAGAATTTCTAGCATCTTAAGGCTATAAGCTACTCAGATCTGAAATTTCCTCTCCCAAAACCCTAATGGCGCAAGAGGAATGGTAGGCCCTAGTGCGCCCGGCCCGCTCACTTTAGTAGTCGTCATATAACCCAAGGGGTTAGGGCCTGTTTGGTTTGAGCGACACCCCCTAGGCGGGTGCCTCGTCGGCCTCCAACAAAACCGCAGACACCCCTTGCCGGCGGTGCTCTCTGCCGCCATGCGCCCGCAGACACCCCCATGGCCTGGTTGTCAGTCGGCGAGGCCCGAGGCACACCCCTTGGGCGCGCTGCCTCTCCGCCGTCATTAAAGCGCCAGGACACTCCCTTGACGGGCCGGCTGCTCTCCTGCCATGGCCGAGACACCCCTTGCGGGCGGCGACGGCGTCGCACGGGCGTAGTGTCTCGGCATTGGCCCGCCATGACACCCCCCTTGGCCGGCGCCTCTCGGACACGGCACCCTGCGCATCCATTGTCTCCGCGCCAATGCGCCGCAGCACACCCTCCTGGGCGGCGCGTGTCGTTCGCTGCCATAATCGCGCCGCAGACACCCGCTTGCGGCCGACATAGCCTTGCTCTCGGCCCTGCCGCCGCAGACACCGTGGCGGCTGTCTTGGCGTTCGCCAAGGCGACACCCTTCGCGGTGCTTTCGTCCTCGGCCCGCGGCGATGGCGCCCCGCGGTGCTCTCAGTTTGGTCCGAGCGCCTTCCTGTGTGGTGCTTGCCGGTTTGATTCGCCGCTCCCAAGCTCGGATTTGAGTGCACTCTCGGTATGTGCGTTTTGGCGATGGGCGCCGGGACCCGAAAGAGCTTTTTGAACCTGCTCCTGGTTGAGTGGATATGCTCTCTCTGTG